TGAACTTAGGCACGCCTATGTGCTGTATATGCTGTTCAATGTTAGTTGTAATCATTCCCTGAAGGAGGCTCAGACAGAGACAAAGTGCATCGGAAATAAACAAAAAGGCTTACAACTACAAGAAGTCTTCCTTTGTGCTGCTCACTAGTCTTTGTTAAAAAATTAAAACATTAAAAGAGAAATTAAAAAATTCCAATAACCTCCCAAGCAGGTGGGCTTAGAGGGTAGATCGTAGATCGTAGAGCGTAGAGCGTAGATTGAAGAGAGAAGCTGGTAGAACATAGAGAGTAGAGCCTAGATGGGCTTAGAGGGTAGATGGTAAGATCATAGAGCATAGATAGAAGAGAGTAGCTGGTGGAACGTAGAGAGTAGAGCCTGCATGATCTTAGAGGGTAGATGGTAGATTGTAGAGTGCAGAGCGTAGATTGAAAAGAGGAGCTGGTAGAACGTAGAGCGTAGATGGGCTTAGAGGGTAGAGGGTAGAGGGTAGAGGGTAGATGGTAGATGGTAGCGCGTAGATTGAAGAAAGTAGCTGGTAGAACATAGAGTAGAATGTAGATGGTAGAACATATAGCGTAGAGCATAGAGTGTATAGGGTAAATGCAATACAGAACTGTACATTAAAAAGATTATTAAAATACTGTAAACCATAATAACACTTTAATATATATGAATAATAATGAAAGCCAATAAATTACAATTGCAAAAATTACAGCATTGCAGATGATCGATAAACTCGCACTCGCAACCCAATATTTTTTATCACTGTACTAATTTTTAAGCCTCTAAGCTGGTGTAGAGAGTAGTCAAAAATTCTTGAACTGATAAACCCGTAAATACGTAGAGCATAGAGCGTAGACGGTGAAACATGGAGTGTTGACCATAGATGGAAGAACATATAGCATAGAGCGTAGAGAGTAGTCAGGGTAAACTCAATACAGAATTGTAAATTGAAAACAATTATTAAAACACTGCAATCTCTAATAACACTCAACATTCTCTAAGCGATATAATATTTGCTACAATAACTATACACTACTACACCTCTATACCACGGTGTACGCATATCCAAGAGAAACAGAGCATAAACATTCAAAATACTACTGTAGAGTTGTAGAGCTCTATAAAAATTTCTACGCCTAATCGAGCTTCATAAAACAGGCTGGGTATACCACTATATCCTTAGCAATGAGGTCTTCTACTTTCGCAGTTACTTTCTCTTGCGATGCAAATTTGACACGCCTTGGTTTCTGAGCTATTGGTGTCACCTCTGAGTCGACGTGTAGTTTCAGCTTGTAATCCTTCAGCTTACCAATACCGACAAACACTGTTGGGTACTTAGCCTGAAGAGCTGGGGCTAGGTTCTCACCGACAACATTGCACTGCACGAACTCACTGCTGACACCCAAACCAATTCAAAGCAGATCCAGAGCCTTTGAGGTTTCGTGGCCCAGCAGACACCTTTCACTCTTTTTAACCATCTAATGTGAACTTAACTTCTTGTCACCTGCCGAGATCTCAACTTGAACCTGGCCAATCACTTCCAACTCCTTCCCGCCATATGCATACAGTGGTTTGTGGCAATCCTCCATCTTTGCGTTAAGGCCTTGGGCCTTAAGTTCCTCATATTCTTCCATTCCTAGGAGGTTACTTACTGACCCTGAATCAGTACATACGCTTGTTATAATGCCATTAACATTTACTTCCAGCACAGCCTCTTTAAGACGGGTTGCATTGCATGTTTCTCCTTGATTCTCTGTGACCAGAAATGCAAAAGCACAGTTCTCCTCCCTGTCAGATGCATCCTGATTTCCCACAAAGTTAGCATTGTAAGATGGACGCCTATCACAAACCCTCTGTCGCTGACCCGTTTTACCTCCAGTTGCATAATTATCACTCTTTCCCTGGCAACACAAAGCAAAATGACCATACAGTGCAGCTCAGATATAAGCAAACCAAAAGATACTCGTAATTTGCATCAGCCGAAAACGCATTAATGCGTATACACATACACACATTCACGTAAACAGTATACGTACGTATGCCTCATTAGTATGTACATGTACAGTGTATGAGCTAACATATTGTTTCTTCTTTTCTTTCTTCTTTTTTATGGTCATTGTTGTTTTCTATGGCTTGAAAGCTTGCCACAGAGTGAGAGAGAATTTTCTTTAGTTTGAATAGTTATGCGCATATAGAGAATATGCGTGTATGCCTTCAGACTAGAGCTGGCTGAAAAAAACATTTTGCAGTTTTGCAGTTGAATAGACAATTTACAATTTACTGGTTTCTGTGAAATGGAATTGGGATAGACGCTTCATCAATCCCATCTTCAAAGAGCAGACAATTTGTGCCTAGTAGAACAGAAAGGTAACATTCTCCGACAGAAAATGAACACGGTTCATGCAAGTGACCTACCGGCACGAGCCGGAACACAGAACTTTTAGTCAGTGTACTTTCACTTTTACTCAATGTAAACTGCACATCATCGAAACTTTGATAAACACTCTATTCTTCAAAAAAAAAGAGTATGTAACATAGATATCATTTCAGTTTCGACAAGAGATCTAGACTCTAGTTGGAACTAATTACAAACGACTTGCTGAGGCGTGCTGATACACAAAACTTTTCCTTGAAGAAAAATTAACTAAACATGAGTGGCATGCCATGTATAGAAACTTTGATAAACAATTCTTTCATCAAGGAAAGAGTTATTTTACTGCTTGAATGAACAATTTTGTGTCAAACAGAGTCAGAGTTATCTTTTTTTCGCCGAGAGATCTTATCGGAGTGCTTCAGACAACAAACATTTCACAAACGACTTGCCAACGCTTGCCGATACACTGAACTTTTCCTTGAAGAAAAGATCACTAAGGGTGAGCAATGCGCTATAAAAACTTTGATAAACAATTTGTTCATCTAGGAAAGAGTATTTCTACTGTTTGAATAAATGATTTGTGTCGAATAGAACCAGAGATGTCATTTTTTTGACCAGGCCACTGGGAGTTGATGTAAAGCCAAAGGCGATATTTTCGTTTAAAAACTGCAAGGACTGCTTGCAAAATAATTCTTTGCCCCGGTGAGTTGTTCACAGCCGTAAACTGCAAAGTAAACATTGCATGTAATATTTGGTAAATGAAAACAATGTCATGTTAAAATAAGTAGTTCAAGTGACTGTTTCAATTTTCTTCCCAACTTTTTGGCAGCTAAAGATCAAGCAAGTGTTAATAAATGGTAGTTTGTTGGTGAATTTGTGAAGCGATCGAAAACTTGAAATATCATAGCTTTCACTAACGTTTTTCACAATTTGCAAATTTCGTGTTGAAGCCTGGCACTTTTTCATTCCAGAAATGTTCTTTGTTTGTCCAACAATGCTTCATATAAAGAAAACTTAGGGAATGTATAACAAAGAGACATATACGTGAGTATATATGTGCATATGTGTGCGTATTGACATACACGTATACACAAAAGACGCGTGTATAATAAGCGTATGCGTAGTTCGCTTGTATCTGAGCTCCCACACTGCACATTTCTTTCCTTTTGCTGGACAGCTCCTATCAATGGGCAGATGTCCCTCTCTTATCATCCTCTATTTCCTGTCTTGTCTTCACTGCATTGACACTGTCTCCTTCCACTACCACTGGATTCACAGTCATGTTTGCTGCTTGTCGCCCAGCCACTTCCCAAGCATGAGCTTTGTCTAAGGTCTCTTCCAGTGTAATATTTCTTTGTTTAAACAGTTTCCTCTTCAGCTCAAAATCCGTTAGCTTCCCAATCAGCTGATCCCTCAAATTGTCGTTCAAACTTGTTCCAAAATTGCAATGCCTCGCTTGTTTTCTTAGACGTACCATAAACTGGTCAACGGACTCCACATCCTGCAGTGGCAACTGACGAAAAACATGATGCTCGTAAGGAATATTTTCCTCGACACAAAAGTAGAAATCCAGCTTGCGAATAATGACCTTGTAAGCGTTGTCGCCCTCTTCTGGCATAGGACCAGGATCTTGTAGGTCTTCGAATATGTCTTGTACTTCCATCCCGGCAAAATGCAAAAGTTGAGACGTCTTCTTATGAACATTCTCAGTGCCCTTTCCTTCGGCATAGTATTCAAATGCGCACTTCCATTTATGCGACTTTCGAAGCAGGTCCGGTTAAATCCAATGGTGGTAAGTGCTTCTCCGTCATATTTGGAGCATATTTGTCACCAATGTAGTATTCCCAGAAGCCACTAAGGTCAATTACTCGAGCGACACAAAGTCGCACTTCAAACTCATGCTCGCACACACATGCACACACACTTGCTTGGTCATGTGACCACTGTTCATAGTCCTGGATGTCCACAGGACACCACAGCCTCTCTCCATCCAGTATAAATGGGTACGGGCAAATTTAATGCTGGGGGTAACCCTGCGATGAACTAGCATCCCATCCAGAGAGGAGTAGAAATACTCCTAGTTGCTTCAGGCTAAGGAAACTGGGATGAGGACCGGCCAGATGGGCCACTTGGCTCGTATGCAGACTTGGACATAGTCTCTCCAATACACTTTTGTCCAGAGGTTCAAATGCCTTTGAGTGGTGCAAACATTTGGTTTGAAAACTGATTCAATCTTGTATGTTTGCCAAACAATGAACAAGATGTATTCCATCTGGTGTAGGTGGAAGGCTGGGAAAATGAGAAATGATGTGGGAACAAGAATTGCAGGAGAGTATTTCCACAGCCTTTTTGAATAGTCCATTAGTGTTTACAGAACCTGTATGTAGGTTGCTAGAAACATGCCATTGGATAAATTGTTTCTATTTCTCTTAACAAAATGCTGGGTAAAAAGAGGGGAAAATCACTCAGACACTTACTTTAATTATTGAACTGTAAATTCTTTTTTCTGGCATCATCATTACATAGGAAGTGTAAATAGGAAGGACATACGTCTTGATGTAGTAGAAGTGCATCAGTTAGTGGTTACTTTCTTACAGGGTGTGTTCTGAACTCATGTACACAGGTGTTTGCTTGGGGTTGTGGTCCATGCCTTGGGACGGGCTCTGTAGATGCTACATCAGCAAGGCCAAGGTTAATTGATGAACTGCAGTCAACTTGTGTTATTGATATTGCAGTAGGAGACAGCCACTGTCTTGCACTTTCTAAAGGTTGGTGTAGAGGTTGCTTTTGGGTCAGTTTCATGACCTGGTAAAGACTTACATGTATGATAACTACATTAACAAAAGTACATGTAATTTTTGGTCAGTTTCATGACCTGGTAAAGACTTAAGACAACTACATTAACAAAAGTACATGTAATTTTTTTTTTGAAAAAGAAAAACACTTGCATTGGTTTCAATAAGATATGAAGTGGTGGCTGCACTGGTGATGTGTCTGTCAGACAGCTGTAACAGAGCCCCATAGCAACTTCCTCTGGAGGGCAAATTTTTGAAAACTGCTAAGTAAACATAGATGATGATTCATAACAGAATATCTGCTGGAACTCTGGCAGGTGTTAAGGATGTTTGTGCTAATTGTTTTTGTGCATCCTTACTGCGCATGCTAATTCACACGCCATGTCCTGCATGAGAGCGTGCGGTAAGTGATAAAATGTGACCCTCCATACGAAAACATGTCTTATCCACAAAAGCGTTTTCTAGGGGGTTTGAGGTCGCTCTGAAATCCTTTGGAAACCCTTTGCAAGCCTGCAAATAACAGTCGGTCATCGGACAATTGTCCGGTAAATTTGAGGTTTTGACAGATAAAAGCTTAGCCTGGTCGGAGACTCTGACCGGGCATTTCTGCTAAAGATTAGTTTCACTGAAAATTTGTGGCCGAATATGGGACAAGTTATTTTGTTATACTGCCACACAATACTATGCAAAAAAGCTTTGTTATCGGTTCTGTTTTTATTCCAATGCTGAGAATTTTATCACGTGCAGTGCGTCGTCTCAAATGTTATGTCGAATTGTAAACACATTACATCAGCACCACTATTCTGCATTTTGCAGTGGCATTGTGAAAGATCGTGAAGCCCCACTTAGTCTGAATTACGTTCGTCTGAAAACTACTAAAAACTGAGGTTTGTTACCACCAAGTGTTGTGGAATTAATTTTCAGTCGTAATACATTGACCCGATTAAAATATTATGGAAATTGAATACACGGCCCAAATACTCACGTTTCGTTTATCTGAATGCAATCGCTTTCAAGAACTTTAAAACCTCTAAAACGTAACCAAGTATTTTTCTAGTCCGTATCATCAAAAATCAGTTTAATTTTTCACTCTTTATAGTTTTTTTTACGTCTGTCAGTGTGGTTGAAATATAGTTTCTGTACCACAGACATGTTTTTTTGTGAAAAGCGTGAATGTACAAATTAGTCATGCTTTATAGTCATGAACACCTCCAATTCCACATTTTAAATAATTACGCAAATTTTTTATTCAATTGACCCCGAAAACTTTCAGAGGAAACTTTCTTTCACAAAAAGTTGAAGAATTCATTTCAGCCAATTTTCAAGTCTCTGAATGTTATTGTGAGGTTTTATACTGACAAGCTGTCCATGTGGGAGATTGTTTCATGGCTTTTCCCGTTTTCCTTAGACATAGTGGGAAACTTGTTATGTTGGAAACGTTTGTGACTAGGGGTATAAACGTTTGCAAATTTGTCAATTTTCAACAGGTAAAATAATACCAGAAGTGATGTAAAGGTCCCCTTGCTGGTGCTAGTAGCGATTTTACACTCAGTTGACTTTTAAGCTATTCAAATTTGCAACCAATATTTTGGCGAAGAGTCTACACTGAAATATCAAAATGTCTCATGTCTCTTTTTAATTTCTAACGTCAAACAATTTTTTTGTCCGGCTAGACTGGCTTTTTGTCAGGTCAAAACTTGTCCTTGTCCTGACAAATGACCTGCCTATAGACAAAAATTATTTGCAGGCTTGCTTTGGAAACCCTTTGGAAACGCTTTGAAACCCTTTGGAAACCCTTTTGAAACACTTTGAAACCCTTTTGAAATGCTTTGAAACTCTTTGGAAACCCTTTGGAAACGCTTTGAAACCCTTTTGAAACCCTTTGGAAACCCTTTTGAAATGCTTTGAAACCCATTCGAAACCCTTTTGAAATGCTTTGAAACTCTTTTGAAATGTTTTGAAACTCTTTTGAAATGCTTTGAAACCCTTTGAAACCCTTTTGAAATGCTTTGAAACTCTTTGGAATGTGGAGCACGTTGGAAACCCCTTTGAAATGTTCCATGTACTCTTTGAAAACCCGATTTGAAAGAGTTGGGGAAAAAATATTCTCCTAGTTTGCATTCGCTGGCGAATGCGCGACAGCACTGCATATTAATTTTTTTTTTTTTTTGCAGAAATGTTATTTTGCGGCATGACTCGGTACTGATTTATTTATAGTTGTGGAAAGATGAAAAGACATAACGCATGTAAAACTTCTCCTAAGTTTAGTGGCGAAAATTGCAGACGTTTGCGAATGTAAATGCGAATAGGTTATTGTTTCCATGCGAGATCAACGACACACATCATTTGCATATTTGCGTGAGGTGCGACCTTTTCTTTTGAATATTTTGTTTACTACTGTGTAATTCTGCCTACGTTTTCTCTAAACTAATTCTCAAACTTTCCGAAGAATTTGAAATTATGTTTTCCACTTAAACTGTTTACTCGTTACAAAACTTTTTGCTTTCTTGCGAGTAAATTTGAAACATGTCGGCTTTCGATCCTGCTAACGAACTATTTAGACTCTGTAATTTGTTAAAAGCATTGTTAGTTCGGTTCGAATGGTTTTCGTTCCTTCTTTTGAGTAATTTTTGCTGTCTGTGTAAAGTTATCATGAACAGGCCGACAATCTGCTAGTGATATACGTGAATGAGTGTTTTATTGCTCTGACCAGCGACGCACGTTGCGTTACAATCACAATGAGAAGATCACGATTTATGGAAATTATAATCATGTTCGAGGAGTCTCGTTACAGTGCATTTGAAAGGTTTAGGTCTCATTTGCACATTTAGCAAAGCAACACTGTTGTATAAATTCCCTTTTTAACTAGTCAAAAACAAAATAAATGGATAATTAATCCAGATGGCAGCATGTTTACCAGGTTGTCGAGTCCAACATGTGATGAAATTCATGTCACAGTGTTTAATGTTTGTTTTCCCCTTCTATTGAAATAATCTCGCCTTGAATTGAAAAGTGCAAAGCACGTCATAGAACACTTGATTAAACTTCCTATTTATAAACAGAGAGCATTTCACTGTTTGAATCACTGATTTATCCCAAATAGAACTGGAGAAATTTATTTTTCATTACTAGCTGTGATGCTACAGGAGACAGTAAGCCAGTTAACGGGATGGACGTGGAAAGAAAACCTTTTGCTGGCGGAAAAACTAGTTAAGAGTGCAAAGCGCGTCATCGAACACTTGATTAAACTTCCTATTTATAAGCAGAGAGCATTTCACCGTTTGAATCACTGATTTATCCCAAGTAGAACTGGAGAAATTTATTTTTGATTACTAGCTGTGATGCTACAGGAGACAGTAAGCCAGTTAACGGGATGGACACTGAAAGAAAAAAACTTTCGCTGGCAGAAAAACTAGCTAAGAGTGCAAAGCGTGTCATAGAACCCCTGATTAAACTTCCTATTTATAAGCAGAGAGCATTTTGCCGTTTGAATCATTGATTTATCCCAAATAGAACTGGAGAAATAGTTTTTACTTTTTAACTGTGACAGTACCTTACAGTATTGTGTTACCACTCACGTGCCAAAAACATACACACGCTTGAACACTGAACGATCTGAAAAACCATGAAAACCAAAGTGGTCGCATTGGCTTCTCATGTTTTGCCATTGGAATATATTTTATGTAAAGAAGTTAAGCTGGTAGCTGATTATGGAATATGCTCAGGTACGCTAATTTTTTGATGTCAAAAATGCGACAAACTGATACAGGGTGAGCAAGTGATTACTTGAATTTATTTCGGTCTTGTCGAATTACAGGTCTAACAACTCAAACTGAAAGTTCAATACTCGTACAAAATTCTTTGTTTGCTGTTATTAGCTTTTTATCAATTGTTCCGTGTCAGTAATCCCGGTACTAGATAATTATGCTCTGTGGCGGTTCGAACAATAACACTTCTTCGTAACTTCCATTCAAGTTTTGCTTGCTGTTTAAATGGATGCAAGGTTATTATAACGGATGCGAAAATGTCACGAACGGTATTAAACGCAAGTCGTTCGAGCGGTAAGTTAACGTAAAACGATTTTCAAGGAAGATTTAAACATCTAACAAGCAGTTTCGTCAGTTTAACAGACGAGCATTTCAGTGAACATCAAAACAGCGTGGTACAAAATATCTTGTTGCCATAAATTAATCATGACGTGATGCGGTTGCAGTCAATGGCCGCGAATACTCGCTGAAAGGTTTTCGCATGAGTGAACAGTTCATGGTGTCGACATCAGTATGTTTTTTAAAACAGAAAAGTTTTTAAGCCCATGCTAACTGTGAAACAATTACTAACCAAAATTAATAAACTTAGCTGAAAGAACGCATTGTAGGTATAATCTAGTACTCAAGATGCTCTATCATACTACGTTGCATGTCTTACATGCAACGTTTCGTTAAAGGGTTTCAAAGCTTTCATAGGATAGGGAACCTGTTTGCACTGCCTTAAAAACAATAATAAACCCTTTGGTAACTCTTTTGAAACCTGTTGCTAACACTTTTAAAAGTTCTTTGGAAACCCTTTGGAAACCCAGTTTCAAGGGGTTTCAAAGAGTTTCAAACCCTTTGGAAATGCTTTAGAAAATCATTAGAAACCCCTTGGAAACCCTTTAGAAACCCGGTTTCAATAGTTTAAAACCCTTTGGAAACGCTTTGGAAACCCTTTGAAACGCTTTAGAAATCCTTTGGAAACCCTTTGGAAACCCTTTGGAAACCCTTTGGAAACCCTTTGGAAACTCTTTAGAAACCCCCTGGAAACCCTTTAGAAACCCGGTTTCAGTAGTTTGGAACCCTTTGGGAACGCTTTGGAAACCCTTTGGAAACTCTTTAGAAACCCTTTGGAAACCCTTTGGAAACTCTTTAGAAACCCTTTGGAAACCTGGTTTCGGGAGTTTGAAACCGTTTGGAAACCCTTTTGAAACCTGGTTTCACCCAAATTGCCATGTTTCATAAGACGTGTTTTCGTATGGAGGGTCACAAATGAACAATGATAGGGCAGATGGCCATTGCTATAGCTTTGCCTGGATTTAACGGTCTTGGACGTTTGGTGACCCCTATTTTTCTTTTGATGGATCATTTTCTCTACTGATTTTCTATGTTTAGCAAAAAAATGAAGAAAATCTATTGATTGGAAGTTTGACTTTTTTGCAAAATGCACCATGGAATTCTGTTTTTTAGCTCTTCGTTTATCTGTGCAATGGCTTCAAATGCCTCTTCAAGGGTTAAGTTTTGTGAAAATGTTGGTAACATTTGGAATTATTTACGCAACAGACCCACTTCTACACTTCTACCTTTGATATTTTTAGCTACAAACCCCTGTAGACCATGCTGAATTACGTGCGCTAATTTTTCAAAATAAGGGTAGTTTTCCACACACTTTATCTCTGAAACGAAGTCGGTGACTCCCAGATTTCTCTGCATTTCTGACACAAGTAACTGATTATCTGACTGCGTAAAAATTTTAAAAAAATCTATCAAGAGGAAAATTTTCGCACGAACGTCCTTAAGTCTTAGTGAAAGCACTGACTTCTCAATGATAAAAATGGTGCTGTATAACCAGTTCAGGGATCTGTATTTGCAGTCGTTCAGTCGTCCAAGACGACTAACAAATAGTATGGACGACCAAAACAACACAAAGAGTCATCCTCTGGACGAGTTTAGTTTGACTTTACCGAAAAATAAAACATTTCGTTAATTTTCTTATGGGTTCCAGCATTCTAACCACTTGTTATCCATTTGGAACTTTGAGAAAACCAAGAAAGATTGGCAGCTTTCTTTTGCAATAAAAATCATCATTTTTTCCGCCAACTTTGATGATGCGGTATTTTCCAGTTTTCATTTCAACCACTGATGCTCTGCACTGCATCTGCATCCATGGAAACATGTAGTACAATCGCATCAGCTGTTTCGATCAGGATGTGGCATTTAGTAATGTTAACACTTCAGAAAAACAATCCAAATACGAGCAGGAAGAATGAAAGCGTTCCTTTCAGCCTCATGGCTGTTGAAGAGACCTAGGTTTTCATTTGTACCTAGATTTTCTGTGTCCACCAACTCCACAACATCAACTGCCACCACTATGGACATGATGTTCTGCGAGACTGGTCATGTGAAAATACTAAAAAAGTAAACTTTCTGTTTACAGTACATGTTGTTCAATTGCAATTCTTCCCTATTGAATGGGCAAGTGAAATATTGCCAGGGCAAGTACATATGTCATCTGGCATACTTGCCTGGCTGACGACCTGGAGAAAAAACCAATATGGATACAGTACAGCCCAAAGGTAATGCACGCGCAACAACTTCTTTTTGCGTACGTAAGAAGTCAACTTCTTGCGGCTTCTTGAAGGTCGCTTGCGCTTGGATCCTGCAAGCCGAAAGAACTTCTTTATGGTTAGAAGTTAAAACCGCAAGAACTTCTTGTTTGTTTTGTTAAAATTCATCCTCTGGATGGCAATTAATCTGGTGGATAGCATTATCCAGCCTTTGAACAACCTGGGCCAGGTTCGTATGTGACTACGCGAAATAAGCGAAAGCGTTCGATAAATTGTGAGCAAGCGCTGAGCATTTCGATCACCAACACAGCATTACAAACAGATCTTGACAGTTTGACCTGCAGGAACTTCTTGTGCCTTCTTGCGGCTTGTGGAAAGATTCATAAGTTCTTGCGTTGTCTTGCGGTTAGATTTTCAACTTCTTGTGGCTTCTTGTGGTTAGACTTCCAACTTCTTGTGTTTCAAAAGTTCTTGTGGGTAAACTGCAAAAACACGGCATTTTTACTTCTTGCGGTGGCTTGCGTGTTCTTGCGGTGCAAGAACTTCTTGTGCCACTTCTTGCGCGTGCAATATTTTTGGGCTGTACTGTAGCTGCAGTTGACATCAGTGACTACATTCTGACACAACTTGATAATTAACATGTACTTTGTTCGCTTTAATTTGTTTTTTGGTTAGATTTGCATGTTTATGCTTGGGGAAATAACTCAATGGGTCAGTGTGGCCAAGGACACTGTAATACACCTGTTGCAAAACCAGCCAAGGTTGTTGGTTTGGATGGCGTGCCTGTTCATCAGATTGTTGCTGGAACTTCTCATAGTTTGGCTTGGACTGCTTTACCATCTGAAAGGTTTTCTACCTGTAGTTATTTATTGTGTTACTGAGCAGGCACTGAGGATCAAGAATTTGCATTGAAATATTATACTGATGTAAGGTGTCTTAAGAAGACAGTTATAACACTCACTGTACCAAGTTTCTAAATAGAACATGAATTCACTATTGATCAGATAGGTGTGACAATACATGCACTAGCGGATATGGTAAAACTACACATACATACATGTTCAAAATGTATATGTTTCAAAGGATGCAAGTTAGATTAGAGTTTGATGGTGCAGTTGGTGTTACTGTGTATGTGATGTAGTTGTCTGAATACTTTTTGAGAAGATTTGATTCTATTTCCCCAAACAAGTTTTAAATTGCCATTACTAACTAATAGTTATTACCAAGAGTGAGGTCTTTACTGGAAAATCTCAAACCAAAACCTTGCTGTATTGACTGAGCAATAGCAAAAGAAAAGTTTTCATGCGACTCAGGCTTTTACTCATAGTTCTGTTTTAACCTGCAGGGCCTTCAATCACTGACACATCATTGCTACTCTGGCCTTTTAATCATTCTCTCTCCCACTTCTTCATGCACTTTTCAGTGTTGTTTGCTATACTAAAGTACATGGAACAAGGAGCTCGGGCAGATTTCACTAATCCAACCTTTCACAGGGGATGTGGGTGGGTGTTCCAACTACTGATGACACTGATTGTTGTTTTAAAGTAAAAGCACCATTAATCACCTTGTTTCCTGTCACAGGCAAACAATTTCTTGGCATCGTCCCTACTGTGTGGAGTTGGATGAATCAACATTTGGTGTGTTGAATAACTTTTTGGAGAAAAATAATGTAGGAATGCAGCAAGAACAGCGCACTTGTTCGTTTTTTGACACAAGGTATTGTGGAGTGACCTATATACATTACTCTGTGTGACTATTGCTCTATGAAAAATTTATTTTCTCAGCCATCCAGTTGAGTGTATAAACTTGTGATGACATTACTGAAGAACACTGATGTAAGACCTGATCACTAACCTCTCATTGTGCAAATGTAAACGTAACATTATCACGAATCCAGTAACAAATTCACAACCAAACGATTAAAATTACTGTTATAATTGTAACAGACAAAAATATTTCTTAACCTAGCGATAAAATAGACAACCAGTCTAGGAAAAAGCCTGTTGCTTTTACTTACTTAGCACTTGTCTCTTTGTCATGTGGAATAACTCCTGACTACCAAAAATGCTTTACATGGAAGCAGCAACTGAACTTGTTAAATGATCAGCATTTTCCTCGCCAGAAGTGCAGAAAATAGTCCACGAAATGAAAGCCAAGGGCTTCACTGTACAAGTTGTTTGATCCTGAATGAAATTTGAGTCACTTGCTCAACACATTGCTCAGCATGTGATAAAAATCTGCACCACTGAATTTAATCTGAGGTAAAATAAATGATTTCTTTTTCGTGAACAAATATTATTGTATCATTTTTGGGTACACTGTATTAAACCCTCGCTATTTCTCTGTTGTATTTCCTTCTCTTAGTTTGTAGCCTCTAGGTTGTTTCCTTCGTGAATTGTGGTTGAAAATATTACATTCCGCAACTGCACAAATGATATGAAGTAAACTTATCATTACAAACATTCGATTTTTGTTTGACATGAAAAGAGCCAGGAATTAATTGACATTAGATCAAACTTTTTTTGATACTAACATGTAGCATAGTAGCAGTTTTTTTCACATATTTTTTATTGCTTTTGCACACACACACAGACAAAAACTTTACAAACACATAACTTTCATTAAAACTGTTCTACTAACTTAAACGCGACTAATTACAGTGACTGCTAATACTTTACATGCAAGTAACTTATATTAATACAAAGATACCAACGATAACACAAGTAATTACAATAACACTAGGACTAGTTATATTTTGTTTGACAAATCTAAACATATATTCTAAGTGTTTTAATTTACAGTATATCCCTTATTGTTATTTAAAATATACATAGAGGAAGAGAAATAAGGAGAAGGGGAACTTTGCATTGTAAAACATTAATTAATCTTTTCGATTTTATATTTGTATTTTATTTCATTGATAAAATCAATGATCTGTAGTGGTGGTGAGCTATTTTGGAAAAATGTTGGCCAGTTTGATATCTTTTAACTCAGTAATGATTGTGTCGGTAGCTCCTTGGCGTCTTAACTTATGTGAAATTTCTATGTCATTAGGTGTTATGTTGACATTTAATGCTTTAGCAACATTCAAGACTACCTCTTCCGTCGACATATAACAGCTCTCTGGAACTCCTGATATCTCCAGCGAATTCTTTCTTGTATACTGCTCTAAGTCATCAAGAGATTGCGTTTCTTCCTTCTGTTCTTTAAGTTTTTCTTTGGCAGGTATGAGTTCATTCTTAAGAGATTCATTCTCCTTTGTTATGCGTTGGACTGATTCTTTCATCTTTTGAAATTCACGGCCTTGAGAAACTACTGATAATTTCAGCGCCGACATTTCCTCTTAAGGTTTTTGTTGTTGAGTAGGATATTGTTTACAGAGCACTGTAATACCACCAACATGCTTCGTAAATCTGACAGAGTGGGTTCAACTTCAGATTTCTCTTGGTTGTCGTTATCGGCCATGTTCTCGGAGGTCTTGACTTGGCGCTTTGCTTCCTTCACTTCATTTTCTACAGAGTCTTGGGCTCCTCTCTTGTTCTTTTTCAAATTTTCAGGCATAAGATGGCATTTAAGTTTTAAAGTAGAGCGAAAATTCGGCCTAAGAGGTAGGGAGAGGCTTCCACTCAAAAAGCACAACCACTCAAACGGACGTCACGCATGCTCTCCATAGTAGCAGTTGCTTTTGATATACATGCCAGCTTCTTGCGAGTAATATATTCCATACCAAATGCTTCTGTAGTCAGTTCTTCTCAATAGAAATGAGATGCGTCTTGTGAAAAATGTGACAAGAGGTGGTAACCTACTTTTGAGTGGTACTGTAGATTATGAATTCAAGATAATAATTTAATTGTCAAGAAATTGTTTGTCCCAAATTTGGGATAATTTTCTGAGGGTGAAACCTTTTCAATTCGTGTTAGTGTTTCATTCAAAGAAGGTGAGATATGATAATATGCTACTGATACTTTCAAATGTCTATGGAATTTTACCAACATTAATAAATCTGCACTATTAATAGTTGTCAGCATAATTATAATAAGCATGGTCTGCTGGTTGAGTAAACCAACTGACTTTTGTTATTGTTCTAACACTTCAATGTATGTTTGTGGGAGGCTCTTTGGCCTAATGGTCAACACTCTGCACTCCAGACTGATTAAAATCATAGTTACAATTACAGAAAGATTCAACTATATTTACACCTTTGAGGTATTGTGCACATTTCACGTCAGACCATTATTTTTGGTTATTTTTTTGTCAGTGAATGCCATCAATTCACCTTGCTGTGTCTTGAGCTTCTCTCAAATCACTTGTCACTAGCCTCAACTGCAGGAGCTTCAGCCTGTGTACTTGGTAAACACACTCGTCCCTTGAGGCTTTTGCTCTTTAGACTGTTGGACACAACTACATCTGAGGACATACAAGAGGTTAGTTATTTTGGAAGCTTGATCATCTCTAAAGGCAATTTTTGGGTGTACAGGAAATCTACTGGACAACACAATTCTAAGAAATACTTTTCAGAAATACTTGGCTATATTCAGAAATCGAAGCTTGGTCAAAATTAGTTTTCTTTAAAGGCATTTTTTGGGTAATACAGAAAATTTACAGCACGGTTTTCATTGATTCTTGGGTATTTTCACCAGTCAAGCATTGCATGGCACAAGTCGCACTCCCAAACAGGTCTTCATCAGTGAAAATAGCCAAGAATCACTGGAAGTTATTTCTTAGAACTTTG